TGATCCTATGAAGTATTTGTTGACGCCGAAAGCTGATATAAGTTAAAGTTACATTAATTCCTCATGGCCGGGAGAATATTTATGTAATTGCCTTGTTATAATTAGTAGTATTGTAAACGGAATTGAATTACTCAACCGATATTTCGTGGTTTATGTAAATTGCTGATTGATAAGAAACCCACAAATGTAATTGAAATGTAGCAGATATCGAATGAATTTGAGGTATCGATTGTGTGCATAAAAAAGACACACGCCCACACCTAGGCTACGCACCATCATTATAATAAAATTCGTTTTCCGACTTAGTCGAATCAGCAGCCATTCGGCTTTTTATTGCGAGATTTTTCGATCTGCACCTGATTCAGAAGTTGCGGAATCAGTATTGTCTAGCATGTCTATTGTTAAAAAACTTTTGCCAACGTTCAAGTTAGTCATTTTTAATTAGATATGCGATGATAGTGACATTTTGTTGGAATAACAATCTATCAATCACAATGAATAATAGGCGTGATCTGATTGATATGAAATTTCATTAGCCTGATAACCTTTACGTCTAACTTTTCTTTTTATTACTTAGTATAACTCAGCACTTCATAATCACAATTAGCTTATTATTTATCAGCCTTATTGATCAACGACCGCGTTTAATTTTTCTGTTTCGTTGCTTAAAGATAGCTTTGGTGGGTTGCTGAGTTCCTATCAACACCGCTGTTTGAGCAGAAATGAGAATTCCAGCTCTATCTGCTTGGCCTGTCACGACACGCTGTGAACGGTAGCTGCAGGGAAATTGGAATGGGAACGGGCTGTATTCCATTCAATTTCGAATTGTCGCTATGGGTGGTTGTATTTTATTTGCTGCAGCAAAAATTATTAATAAAAGTATGTTTCCATCCCATACAAGCTTCATTATTTTCCTTCTGCAGTTTGCTGGAGCATTCTTTTGTTATTGAAGTAAATGAGTGGAATGAGGTGTCGTTTGACGCGTATTGGGTTTTTTATCGGATTCCGATTATTTTTCTTGTTTGGACATTAACGCTGGCGGTATTAAAATTTAATTAAATTGAAAACGAAGTAAATGCATCACGAAATAACAAAGCGTGTTATGTGCTATGCTATATAGCTTTCAATATTGTTTATGGACAAACAAGAAAATTAAATATTAATATAGACTTTAAATGCGGAATTATTTTCAAGTGGCGCACATTTATACGATTATAGTATATAATTTATTGATCCTTTTGTGCAGGGCGATACTTGGCTTTTGATTATTAATAGTTAGTTGGGCTATTTACATGCCGTTGTTTTTTATTCGCCCATTGCTTTGTTTTTATTGTCAAACGCAATTCAATTAAAATTTAATTGTTATTTATTGCTGCAGCGGAGTAGGCGTAGACATGAGAGGGTGGGCGCCGATAAGAGCCATTTGCATGCCACGATGCCTTTTTGTTATTGCTCTCGTGGCCAATGTCATCATTGTTATTGTTATGGGTATTGTTGTTGTTGTTGTTCGCTCGCTTTATGAATTACTGTTGTTACGATACTTTAATTAATGACTTTGTTATCATTTATCGTCATGGTGACAGTCGCTGCTCCTATTGTTGTTGTTATTATTGTTCATGTTGCCTTTATTGTTGCTATTGCCATCGTTATTGATGACATTTTGTTAGCCATCTAACCGTTAGCCGCACATCAGCGTCACTTTTGCTTTGTTATTGTCTGTCAGCAGTTGGTGTTTTTTGATTGGCATCTCATGGGTGCTGTCTGTCTATACTTCTGCTGGCCAAAGCCTTTGAACCCGCTTTGCTGGCAGACACCAGTGGGTGGGGGATAGGAATGCGGCGTGACAGCCGATTCGTTGCATGGCAATAAATGTAGGTACTCGGTGTTGTCTCGCAAAGAGTTAAGCCGCCCGAGGTGGCGTCTTAATAAGAGGCAGTTGAGACGAGACAAAATAATTTTGCGAAAGAGCTGTCTAAGATCGAAATTCATGGCTTTGGCGTGCTTGTAGATGAGACAGCCAGCTAATAAGAATTTAGGTTGAACAAACTCCAATCAGTGGCGCGAAGCAAGCTAATCAAGGAAATTGAGAGAGACGCGTGTCTTAAATATGCAATTATTATGGGATCTGATGAAATTTATTTGGTGCTAGATAGATTAATATGCGCTTTATTTCCTCCGGTGTGTGGCCTTTCTTTTATTATTAGTGTACCCCAATTCCATAGTATTTTCATATTCCATTCGCTGCTCCAATTTTTCGTATATTAACATCATACTTAATTAAAATATATTGACATAAAATTGTGTACATTCAATTTAATGTTGAACAATATTCAATTTTAATTTACATTCACTTAAAATAAAAAAATTTACCTAATTCCATAATAATTTTTTATATTTTTCTCAACTTTGATTTGAAGTTATTTATTGTTATTGTTATACAAGTATGTCAAAATGAGGAAAAAATTAATTAAATTGAATGAAAGTTCCTAAGTCAATTTTCAGCGGATATGTAGAAAGTGGAAATTGCCAATTAATTCAGGGCGCAGAAAAAATGAGGGAAAAATATTGCATAATTTTAAAAAATTACATTAAATTAACTTTTTTACATTTTCTTTTTTATTTACATACTTATAAAAAATATAATATTAAACAAGTTTCCTACTTCTTTACTTTCTTTTGTAAATCAATGGATGATTTGCAAACTTGCTTCCTTAAAAAATAATGCGTTAGATTTTTTTTTCGTATTATATTTTCGTTTTTTTAGAAGTACAGCTTATATCATCTGCATATTCGTATTATATTATATAAATAAATTCTAACATAGTATTGCATTATATATGGAAAATAATTCAAAAGCAAACAATGAAGTCAGCATATACAAGAAAATTATTAAATAATTTCAGTTAATGAATGTTTAAGGACTTCCGTAGGGTATTTATTTATTTATTTCCATCGAGAAGCAGTGCAGTCGATGTACTATACATAAAAAAAAAATCAATACAATACAATGGAGAACTTAAACTAAGTAAAACTAAAAAAATAAAAAAGCCTATAAAAATGACAAAAATATCTAATAACGAATCCGACACGGTGGGGGAGTTTTATTTACCAGCTATGCCCCGATTTACAGCAGAGAGTAGTCAGATACGTTATTAGACCTATCAAAAAAGAAGTCGAGATGAAAAAATAAAGCAATAAAAGATAGAGGAAAACAAATATATTGGTATCTTTTGGTTTTCTTTTCTAGGTTGTGCAGACAAGAACATCTGTGTTTCGTCTATTATCCACGAAGAAATTTCTTCTTATCTATCGTACTTATGAAGTGTATGAGTAGCATGCTAGCTGCTCAAATTGTCAGTAATTGAATTCTGGTTTTTATTAGCTACTTAGTTATTTTAAAATGTGGTTTTCAAACATGTGTTTCAGTTTAGTGTCCAATATGCTTATGCTTAAACAGAATGTTTGCATCTTTATCAATCAATATCTTTATTTCTCTCAATACACGCGCCATAGATACATATTTTATTTGTTGGAAAATACAAATTGTTAACAATTTTTCGTAAACTTTGTAGTATTTGTAGTGGAGTTGTGCCTCGAAGTGCTTGTATTTGTGCTGCTCATTATGCGAGAGTCGCATGTCAAACGTTACTTGAACTTTTGTTGAGCTTGGTTACCTAAGTTGTGGCCTGCTAGGCCTGCTAATTATTTTTATGGCATTTTAATTACTTAATTAAACAATTAGCTGAGCGCAGTGCGATAGTTCAATTATGTAAGCAGTCAGCAGCAGCAGCAGCAGCGGGCGTCTCTCTGACCTACTCGAGAGCAAGATGCAAACAATTAAAAGTTCATTAAAAAATAAGCCAAGAAAAAATTGCACAAGATTAAGAGTTGAGAGTGGCACACGCACACACACACACACACATGCATGTGTACATACATTTGTACAAAAAAAAAACGTATTACAAACAGAGAACAAATTGTGTTTTCTTTTGCGTGCGCATTCGCAGTTGCAGCTACAACAACAACAACAAGAGCAGTAGCAGCAACAACAAAGAACTTAATTGTGTATCAAGTGCAAGTGCAATTGTATGAGCGGGCGTGAGTGTTGCTGTCTGGCATGGTGTGTGTGTGTGCGTGTGTGTGAGTGTATTTTATGCGCCAATGAGCACTCAATGAATGCACTAGACAAACACACACACACCCACGCACTCGAACACACACACTCACACTCACAGCATATTCTAGAACTGTGCGACTTTTGTAGACTAATTCAATTAACAAGCTTGTAAGCTGCTTAACATAAAGTGTGTGAGTTAGTATGAGTGGGCATGTGTGTGTGTGTGTGTGTGTGTGTGTGCGAGTGTACTGCGACTGGTTTGTGCATTTGGCTTTCACCTGCTCAAAGGTTGTCCCATAACTCGGCCAATGTCTTAATTAGCTAAACGCACTCATTAGATATAACAAGCAACGCATTTGAGTCTGTTGAGCGCAATTAGAGCGCTTTGCCGCACAAAGCTGTCTCTTGCAACCGGTTGCTAAAAATAAAAAAATAGAAAAAAAATATTTAAATAAAATGAAAAACTGCCATTGGTTGCTGCCCCATTTGCTGTAAATCTGGTCGCACTTGACTGGCCGTGCTCTATATATGTGGCTCTCCGGCGAGTATTTCCATTATATGGCTTGACAGGTTTGCAAAATTGTTTTGCATAAATATTTTCAGCAACTCGGGGCTCTTAAGTTTTCGTTCACATCTATCTGAGTCACTTCAAGTGCATAAAACCAGTTTACTATATTCACACACACATTTGTTCAGTTCGGCTTTTTCGGGTTCAAACGAGTACACACACACATACATATATATATACTTAGTATATATTTTTTGTAGGCGGAAGTTTGCTCGCAAACTGGGTTAAGCTGTAAATCAAAGCGTTGGACGATAGATGCGAAGCACATTTCCATACATATTAATCAGGTTTTTTGTTTTTCTCCTCTCATTGCAGACTTGGGCATTGTTAGCCGTGCTGTTTGGCATTCAAACTGGGTGAGTAGTCAATAAATTTACAAGTAAAGGCAAAACAAAGCTTTATAGAAAAATATTTCAAGTATTATTATGATATGAAGGCGGTAGCTTAGAAGAACTCTTATCTAGGTGTGGCCATCTATATGCGATTACATGTTTAACCATAACTATCAAAGTATGTACATTGCATGCAAATATGTACAATACCAGACGTATGTGCATTACTAAAAAGCATCTATATTTCTTGAAGAGATTTGGGACGATCTAGAAAGTCTGGTAACAAAATTTGAATGCTCTTTAAGATAGAGTTTTATTTTAATGGGCTTTTCTTTTTGAAGACATAAGTACATGTTTTGATTGAGCATTGATTGAGTCATAATATAAAATACCAAGTATTTTTACAGTATTCTTCAGCTGTTGTCGAAAAGCTGTATTTTAAAAGTATAATGAATAGAAAAAGGGTTGAAAAGGAAGAAGAGCAATATTCCAGTACACACTTTACAAGAGAGCATCATTGAATTCTTCGTACCAATGTTTAATGAAGCCAAGAACAGCCTTAGCCTTGTTTAGGATTTTAGAGCTGTACAGATTGAAGTTAAATTCGGAATCAAAGTTTACTTCAAGATCTTCCACTTATAAAATACCATATATTGGTACATATGTACATTTGTCAATCGTAGATAGTGACTCATTGTGGTGTGATTCGCCATTTGGAGATATGCAATTGCGTATGCAAGAATGCGACAAGATAGGAAGGAGTTTTTTTATAAGGAGATTAAATATTAAATGGCCACAATGACCTCAATTATTCACTTCGTTATTTATTAAAATTGTGTTAGGCTTTTTGTCAATGAAAGCGACTGTCTACTGTAGGTAGCTAGTGTCTGCATGCCTTATTATCATTTGCTTTAAAAATAGTCTTCACACCTAAGCTCGCTTCAAATCGTCTACAAATCGTGTTTTTGAAATAGAAGTTGTTGTTCATTTATTTGTATTTTAACTATTTGCTGGCATGGACATTGGGTGCCTAGAATTGGAGCTTTATTATATTTGCTGTGCAACCTTATCTGTGCCTTCACTGCGCTAGATACTTGTATAACGTATTTTATTTTCTTCAAATATTTGTCAGTTGGTTCACACTCTTCCTCACTTTATTTAATAAGCAGCCTGTTGATAATAAGATAGCAATTGTCATAACTCAAAATTGCCACGTTTATGGCTTTTTGCTTAGTTTTGTTTGAACTCAAGTCATGTGCCCAGTTGCTGTGCGATTTCCATAGTTGCCAATGAATTATGCGAACATCCAAAAGCTGAAAATTGTTGGTTAGCAGCACCGCTGCTTGTAGACTAAAGACGTTGAGCTAAGTGTTGAGTGTTGAGGGCGAGGCCCCTCCCCCCAAGCAGGGCATGTCAAATTGCGCAGCGGGGCAGAAATTTGAATAGATAACAGCTTTACGTGTAAATATGTGAAAAGGTAGTGGTAACGTAAAAACTTTTATTTGTATTTTTATATTCAAATACGTGTGTGTGTATTGATATGTGTGTGTGTGTGTGCGTGTGCATCCGCTCTACAACTTTGATAAATATTTACTGACAAAATAATATCCATCTGCGTATGCAATAAACTTTTTGCCAGCCAAGAGCTGACAACTGCAGACTTTGCTGGCGGGCAGATAAATACAAAAATGGTTATTTTACAATACAAATTGCGGCATTATTAGCTAGAGTCAATGAAAATGAAATGCAGAGTGTGCAAATTATTTAAATTTGCTTCAGGCAAATGGTGAGAAAACAAACACAACATGTCAGGGACGTCATTTTGAAAGCCACAAATGTTGTGAAAAAATGTATTGTTGTGTTTTAAATCCGTACAAAAAGTGATATCACATACATGACATAATACGAGCGCAATAAAAAAAGCCAAATACTAAGTTTGACTCTTATTTGTTAGGATAAATTGGCTTTTAACAGCTTATGGTGTCGAGTTCTCATATTTTGCATAGTCTTTATCCTGGACAGGTCATAAATAGAAGTTTAATTATAGCTTAAAGTGGGATTAAATTTAAATGAAATTTTTTAATTTTTGGTCTGAACACATATCATCGAACATCAATTTCGCGCCGACCGTTGGATACTCTGGACCCAATCTCTCCCACGCTACACCCATTGAACTAAGACTTAAACTATGTTGTTCTTCAGAACATCAAGCGGTTCTAAACATACATATATATTTTCTTGAGATATCTTCATAAGCGTAGAAGCTCTCTAAGAAAATTTTTTACACCGATCGGTTCTATGGCAGCTATATAAAATAATTAGGCTACATATGTTTTGTATTACATTTTATATGCCTTTGGATATGACATGTCTATTGTAATTTGTATAATAAAGGTATAATAAATAAATACAAAAAATACTTTTAACATGGGGTCTGACATACCTCCTTCTGTCTGTTCTATACATTTCGAATTTCGACTTTCTAGTGTACCCTTTCACCCAATTACTCTTTTTATAGGTATTGCGATCCATTTTAACAGTCATGTATATAACCCTTCATCATGATATTTGATATTTGTTGGACATGCTAATTTTTTGTGATTAGAAAAACAAGTATTCGTCTGTTTATACCCCTTTGGGTTTCCAAAGGCATTTGGTTCAAATTTGTTTTATAACTCATCATAATCAATTGAATGATGTTGTTTTTCGATTCACACTTCCCGCTGTTATTTATTTGATTGAAGCTTTGCGCAATTCTTGGAAAATGAAAATATTGTGGTTTATTTTGTTGTATTATTTACACCTTCGAGGTCCCTGAAGCTAAAATCCATTTATTGCGGTCTGAGCAAACCCAGCAAATACAGATGTTGGGACTTATGTGTAATTTTAAAATACATATAAATTCGGTAATTCTCATTCTGGCTTATATATTTATTCATTCGCCAACAAACAGACATTACAAGTATAATTTTTCAGTTTTTAATTTGGAAATCTATATGCAAGTTTATTGCCTTGGTAGTATTAAGCGAAAAAATACGAATAGTACGTAGTACTATATCTACCGAAGTACATAAAAAGTTACAACAACTAGCTGTAACTGGATCTTTGTAGGCATAAAAGTAACAAGGGATAGCTTGAGACTTACTTTATTAAAAATGAGAGTTTATGAAGCGCTATGATTTAAAAAACTCGATATTGACGAGATGGCGGAAAAGGTAGCAAATACTGTATTGAATAAAATAGCAAAGCCTTTTTGATCTATTTAAGAGATAAGTCATGAATATTAATTTAATTAGTTAAGTTAAACATAATTTCGTTCTAAAATTGTAGTTTAACATGGAATAAAAGTACCCAATACCTATTACGTTAATTGGCTGTAATTTTTGTTGCATAGTTCTCAGAATTGGGGCCAGGCTCTATTTTATGGCCGACTCACTGTTCCAATATTTAACTTACTTATTTGCATTTGCAAAGCTAAAATTTGTGACTAAGCTGGGAGATAATAAAACGTAGTAGCAAAAGCTCTTTGCCAATATTTATTAATAAAAGAGCAACTGGGCTAACAGATAGTGTAAATAAGCTGCCTGACATCACATTTTTCGTGTCTATTTGTGTACAGATAATACTACTGAGTTAGACAAACATACGAATTAAGCATACGCACTGTCTGTCACTCGAAAATTGAAATGGTTGGGAATGAAATGAGATGTGTAAATCAAATGAAACAATTAAAAAATCAAACAGTTTAATGGCCATTAAACAAATGCCACAAATTAGCAAACTTTCACTTGAACTAAATGAACGAAAATGGGCAAATAAAAAGCGTAATGAAATTTAAATGCAATACAATTAATTGTGGCGCCCTAAATGGGCTCCAAATGGTCAATAGAAGCCAAATAAATGGAATCAAAAGCTAATTGCCAGCAACAGCTGCAGCAACAACATCAACATCAGCAGCGTCAGTAACAAATATAAAAGAAAACTCAAGTAAATAAATACAAAATATGCGGGCGTTATAGCATTGTCATAATAATATTGCGTATACGCAATGTGGACAGCACGTAGCTTGTCAAATACCCCGATTTGGGGGTCCCATTGGTAAACACAAAACTTATTTATGCACATGTTCATACGTTTGTAATTGCAATTGTTTGCCATATTGTAAAAGTATTCAATTGCAATTGCATTTTTGATTATGACTAAACAGAAAAACGAAATTCAAACGAAAATTGCATTTCAATGTTGTTAATTATTATGCACATTTGACCTAAACACACGCATAGCCACCAACTCGTAAAGGGTGTTTCGTTTTGTGGCGTTGTGAATGAATTCAAATTAAGGCACAATAAAATAGATTAAACAATTTAAATGGTGACAATAAACAACTCAAAACCAATTGGGAATCAAATATAATGTAGTGGAAACAGCTCACAAGCTTTAATAAATGTATGCTATTTCGTTTTCTAGTATACCTAATTAAATTCAGTATTATTTAATTATGGTACTTTTTTGTTGTTGTTGTCATTATTAATAATATAACTCTTTTTTTTATCTTTTTCCATATGCTATAATTGCATTTCGTTTTTATTAATACTATTTATACTATATGATATTATACTATATACTATATATTTTATACTATAATTTCATTAGTTGTTTGTTTTAGGCAAAACTCTTTATTTTACAACTTTGCTAATATACTTTTTGTTTCATGTTTTAAATCTGCAAAATAGTATGTATGTATTTTAAATGAAAAGCTGCAATTGCATAGCCTTATTACTTATTACAAGCTTAAGAGCTCCAACATTAAATTTAAAAGCTCTTATCACTTATCATGAAGGTTCTAGCTCTAATCTAACGACACATATGTTTCTTAATTAAATGTAGTAGCAAAGCGCCTATTTTCATTTTACTAAGTTTTAATTGACTTCAGAAAAAGAAGAGTAGATTTGCAAAGAAAGAAAAAATATTATTCATGCTCCTGCGGCATCCGGTATCTCGCGTTAGTGCGAGTTTTTTCATAG